TAATGATCGATGCTGGTATCCCGTGCAGTCGAACAACGGTGGAGATGAAGAGGCGGGCTGTTTCTTCTGCTGTGATTGACTTCTTGCAGGCTGCGAAATGTGCCATTTTTGTCAGCCGATTGACGATGAACAGGATCGCGTCGTTCCCGCTTGCTCCAGCCGGTAACTCCGTGACGAAGTCCAGCCTCACCTACTGCCAAGCACGCTCTAGGGGTGGTATCGGCTGCAACTGTCCTGTCGGCTGCTTCCATGATGATTGCATTAGTTGGCAGGTGGGACACAATGCCACGTGTCGTTGCACGTCGGTCAGCATCTCGGGCCAGTAATAATACCACTGCAGCTGCTATCGTGTTTTCTCTACTCTGAAATGGCCTGAGGTAACTCAGTCATATGCCTCATGTAGAAGTAATTCCCGTAGTAACGTGTAGCCCCGTACCTAGATGCGGTCGGTGCCGGCTTTTACATAATAAACCCCCTTTGCTGCTGCGAACTGCTGCTAATTTCCTCCTGTGAAGAATGGGTCGGTTTGATAGCCGTGGGTAAATATTCCTGTTAGTAGCGGGCTGGTCTGGGCGAGTAGTATGGCGTGGATATGGGCAGTGGGGCGGGTTAGTGCGTCGGCAATGTTCGATGCCCCTTTTTTGTAGGTGACTGTGTAGTGGAAGTTTGACTTAAGGAAATCGAGCCAGCGGATCTATCGTAAAAGATGTCTCCCCCCCGCGTAAAAGAGAATTTTTCTATAGTAGATCTGTGAGTGGGGCTGCTAATCGCGCCATGTCGAGGACGAACTGACACACATAATTAATGAGCCCTAGAATACTCTACAGCTCCGTGATATTTGTCGAGGGGTACCATGCTTTGACCGTGTCCAGCTTCTTTGGGTCGATCTCAATTCCAACCTCCAAAATAACGTGCCCAAAAAACTATAGCCTCTCCTGAAAAAACTCGCACTAGGAACCCTTGGTCAGTAGAAGGTGCTCTTCTAAAATTTTGAATACTGCTTCCAGATCTGCTAAGTGCTGCTGCTTATCGCAACTATCGACAAGGATGTCGTCGAGGTAAACTATCACGCATTTATCCAAGAGCGGCCTAAACGCCTTGTTTATGGTCCAGAAAAGTCGCTGGTGCGTTGGTCAGCCCGAAGGGCATCACGGTGTGCTCGAATGACCCGTACCTAATCCTACATGCTGTCTTGGCGGAATCCGATGGTTCGACCCTAATCTGATGGTAACCTCCCTGTAAGACAATTTTCGAAAAGAACCTTGCTGTTCGTAGTTGATCAATCAGTTCGTCGGCGCGGAGAATGGGGTATCGCGACTTGACTATTACCTTGTTCAGTGCTCTAAAGTCAATGTGTGAAATAATAAGGAATGATTGACTAGGAAATGAGTAGGGTACAAATATGTAACCCTAGGAAACTGTACCCCATACTCTCTACCCCACTACAGCCTAGAAAGACTATAGCATGAATGTTTGACACACCACCATAGGCAAAGTGGGGGAGAACAAGGGGTCACAAGACCAGTCAAGCAAAGCACAGCAAGCTCAGGGTGGATCACAATGTCACCACACATTCCGAGGACAAGTTCAAGGCCACAAGGCCAGTTCACATGCAAGATTATATATAAAGGTAAACAAGCAAGTGCAGGTATAGATAGATCACAGTACAAGCAAGGTCAAGAAGTGAGCAAGTGAGGCCAAGTAGGCACAAGACCTAGCATCGTACAAAAGCGTTGATGATCACAAGGCTGAAGTGCCTTGGTAAAGATATCAGCAGTGTTGGCCCGAGAGGCCACGTAAGCAAGTCGCAGCTGACCACGCTGCTGCATCTCACGAGCAAGGAAGTAGCGAAGAGCAATGTGCTTCGTTCTGTGCTCCAGTCTGTGCTCCCGACGCAAGGCCAGCATGGCCTTGTTGTCTACGTACAGAACCAGAGGAGAACGAGGCTGCTCTCCTAGGTCAGTCAGCAGGTAGGTGAGCCAACGTAACTCCTGTGCAGCCATGGCCCCGACGTAGATCTCAGCCTCACAGTTGGAGCCGAGAACAGAAGACGAGCAGGTAGACCGCCACGAAACAGAGTCGGAACCAAGGCTGAAGGTGTAACCCTGTGACGACCGCTGCGTAGCCTGGTCGTCAGCCCAAGAAGCGTCTGCATGACCAGTGAGGACCACTGTACTCCGCCCTCCAAGCACTAGCCCCATGCTCGACGTACTGCACAACTAGCGCAACACCCTCTTCGCCCAGCCATGTGCTCTGTTCGGTGTCTCCCAGGAGCAACATAGCGTGCCAAGATGCTAAGAGGGTATACAAGGTCACGTCGAGTGCAGGTCATCAGGTACATGAGGCAGCCAACAAGCTCTGGGTACGGGCCACTCGGCTCTACGGACTCATCCGAAGGCAAAGCTGAGAGCGAGTGGCTAGTAGGCAGAGGAGTGGCCTGAGGCAAGGAGTACGTGAAGTCGAAGAGCTGAAGGACCTGCTGCACCATCTGTGACTGAGTCAGAGTAATGGTGCGCCGTGCTCTGTCCCGGGTGATCTGCAAGCCAAGGTAGTTGCGCAGTTCACCCAGGTCTGTGCACGTGTGTCTCTTCTGCAACTCGGACTTCACGTAAGCGAGTCCAGCAGTGTCAGCAGTAGCAAAGACCAAGTCGTCGACGTACACGAGGATGTAGAACGGCGGCAAAGAAGTGTCGGTGCGTAGAAACAGCGACGGGTCGGCAGTAGAAGGAGCAAACCCAAAGGCAGACGAGCTCAGCAACTAAGGCAGACGCAGTAGTGGACTCAAAGGAAGGGTCAGTGAGAGCAGTAGCCAGGAGACGCGTGACAGTAGGACTGGCAGCACGAAGAGAGTAAGACTCCGGGTCAGCAAGAGCGGGAAGAGAGGACTCTGGGGGAGACGGCAAAGGGACACGCAGTGGAGCAGTGGAAGGACGTAGTGCCATCTGGTGTGTGCCCGAGACCGCAGGAGGACGCGGACGCGGAACACGACGACTAGTGCGAGCAGCATGAACAGGCGACGCAGGACAAGACGCAGGCTCATGACGCTCAGCAAGACCTCCAGTAGGACCAATGTAGGGAGGAGGAGCAGGCAGTGGGGAGGCGGGCTGTAACTGTGACTCGGATTGGACAGGCAGTGGACACTCTAAGGAAGGAGCAGGACCAGTAGAGGGCGGAAGACCAAGAACCTGCTCAAGGAGCGGAACGAAGTACGGTCGTGGTCGCGCAGCACCTCCACAACCAGCACGGAAAGGACCAGCACCCCCAGGGCCGGCCACTACTCCAGCAGCTCCACCAGCTCTAGGAGCAGCTACTCCAGCACCCACAGGAGCACCGGCAACAGCAGCACCTCCAGCTCCACCACCTCTAGCAGCTCGAGCTCCAGCAGGAACACCGGAAGACCCAACAGCCCCAGCTCCAGCACCTCCAGTAGCACCTACTCCAGCAACACTGCCAACTCCAGCACCACCAGCAGCTCCAGCACCTGGAACACCCCCAGGCCCAGCAGCTCCAGTACCTCCAGTACGAGCACGTCCGGGACCCGTGGCGCCAGCACCCTCAGCAGTAGTAGAACCTCCAGCTCCAGCGGCACCTCCAGCTCCAGCAGCACGACTCCAGCGCCGAGCAAACCACTCGCCCAGCTCCTGTGGAGAGGGTAGCTCCCGCCGGGACGAACCACCCGAAGGACCTCCAGACCCCGTATCGCCAGACTCCACACAAGCGGGCCCAGCACCCGCAGGCTCCGCACCCCCAGTCACAGCACCCCCAGGCTCAACACCCCCAGACTCAGCACCCCCACGCTCAGCACCCCCAGACCCAGCACCCTCAGGCTCAGCACCCCCAGACTCCGCACCCGTAGGCTCAGCACCCTTAGCAGCACCAGAGTCAACAGCTATCTCGACAGGCTCGACTGCGTCTACCTGGGACACACCTAAGGGGGCAGGACCCTGAGGGGAGGGGGCGTCTACCAGGGGAGGACCTGGTGCGAGGAAGAGCGGCGGCGGGGGTAGGGGGGCAGTGCGATAGGGGAAGAGACGGTAGTAGGGAACCGACTCGTCAAACGTGACGTCCTGGGAGGACAGAACACGGCGCAAGGTGGGGTCGTAAAACTGCCAACCAGGGGCGTCAGGGGGGAAGCCAAGGAAGATGCAGGGAACAGCGCGGGGGGAGAGCTTGTCCGCAGAAAAGTCGCGGACAAAAGCCCGAGATCCCCAGACACGGAACGCAGACGCATCGCCAACCTTTCCCGTCCACCGCAGAGTAGGGGAGGTCTCCGGTAAGGAGACCCGGGGCTGAAGGTTGATCTGATGCGCCGCGTACTGAACCGCGAACGGCCACAGAAAATGGGGAGCAGCCGCATGGATCATGGACGTACGAGCGACGTCCATGACCATGCCAATGCGGCGCTCAGCAATCCCATTTTTCTGTGGAGAGGTCGGAAGCGTGAACGTCTGGCGGATGCCCTGTGCACGACAGAAGGCCCGCAGAAGGTAAGAGGAAAACTCTCCGCCTCTGTCGGAGTGGAGACGCAGAACAGGAAAGTCTGAGCCGAAACTGTCTCTGAGCTGGAGACGAGCTGCACGGATCCAGTTGATCAACACCTCAGTGACCTCACCCTTGCTGCGCAAGGGGAAGACTGTGGTGTAACGCAAGTAGTCGTCAACCACCAGCAGGAAGTAACGCTCGTGACCCTGTCCACGGACGTGGGCGGGGCCCCACACGTCCAGGTGAAGCGTCTGCAGCGGAGCCTTTGTCGGAGGAAACTCGGAGGAGTGAGGAGCAGCGCGCTGCCGCCCCTCGACGCAGGGAACGCAGGTAGGGGCAGGCCCCGGAAGAAGAGGATGGAGGGACCGGGGGAGACTAGAGATAAGGAAACAAGCGGCCATGCCTCTTAGACGAGGCACAGAGGGGTGACCAAGGTGGTGGTGCCAGAGGAGAGTCTGGTGAGTCAGGAGACGACACGAGCAGGGTCAGAATGCCCCCACCCCCCACCCCCCTACCCGTCACCCCCCTCGTCGCGACTGTTCGCGTGTGCAGCGTTGGTCGCTGTGGGTGGGAGAGGGAGGAGGGGAAGGGATTGGCGGTGGAACGCTGTGGGGGGAGAGGGAAAGGGGGAAGGGAGTGGCGGCGAAATGTTGTGGGGGAGAGAGGAAAAGGGGGAAGGGAGTGGCGGCGGAACACCAGCACCAGCACCAGGCACCAGCACCGGCACCAGCCGCCAGCACCAGGCACCAGCACCAGCGCCAGCCGCCAGCACCAGGCACCAGCGCCAGCGCCAGCCGCCGGCACCAGGCACCAGCACCAGCGCCAGCCGCTAGCACCAGCCGCCAGCACCAGGCACCAGCACCAGCGCCAGCCGCCAGCACCAGGCACCAGCGCCAGCCGCCAGCACCAGGCACCAGCACCAGCGCCAGCCGCCAGCACTAGGCACCAGCGCCAGCACCAGGCATTAGTACCAGCGCCAGCCACCAGCACCAGGAACCAGCACCAGCACCGAAGCCAGACACCAGCACCAGCAACGGCACCAGCGCCGTTACACCAGCACCAGCCACCAGGACCAGCGCCAGCCGTCAGGCACAAGCACCAGTGCCAGCCGCCAGCACCAGGCACCAGCGCCCGCCGCCAGCACCAGGCACCAGCGCCAGCCACCAGCACCAGGCGCCAGCGCCAGCCGCCAGCACCAGGCACCAGCACCAGCGCCAGCCGCCAGCACTAGGCACCATCACTAGCGCCAGCCGCCAGCACCAGGCACCAGCGCCAGCCACCAGCACCAGGCACCAGCACCAGCAGCACGCACCAACACCAGCGCCAGCCGCCAGCACCAAGCACCAGCACCAGCGCCAACTGCCAGCACCAGGCACCAGCACCAGCGCTAGCCACCAGCACCAGGCACTAGCGCCAGCCGCCAGCACCAGGCACTAGCACCAGCGCCAGCCGCCAGCACCAGGCGCCAGCGCCAGCCGCCAGCACCAGGCACCAGCGCCAGCCGCCAGCACCAGGCATCAGCACCTGCGCCAGCAGCAGCCAGCACCAGGCACCTGTGACCAGCAGCCCCACCTGTGACCAGCAGCCCCACCTGTGATCAGCAGCCCCACCTGTGACCAGCAGCCCCACCTGTGACCAGCAGCCCCACCCGTGACCAGCAGCCCCACCTGTGACCAGCAGCCCCACCTGTGACCAGCAGCCCCACCCGTGACCAGCAGCCCCACCTGTGACCAGCAGCCCCATCCGTGACTAGCAGCCCCACCTGTGACCAGCAGCCCCACCCGTGACCAGCAGCCCCACCTGTGACCAGTAGCCCCACCTGTGACCAGCAGCCCCACCAGTGACCAGCAGCCCCACCTGTGAAGAATTGGACAGGGACCATCGTGGGTGGGGAGGGGTCTGGAGGAAGAAAAGGGGGGAGGGAGTGCGGTTCCAGGGGGCGGTTGAAATGGGGGGTGAGGTTACAGGGGGTTGGTTGATTGGGGGTGGGGATGTGGGGGTTAGTAAGAGGGGACGCTGCGGCCACCCCTTCACCTCCACTCCTCATCCCCCACTCAACCCCCCCTGTGTAAAAGGGGGTTAGTAAGAGGGGACGCTGCCGCCACCCCCCCACCTCCTCTCCTCATCCCTCACTCACCTCTTCCTTTGTTCTTATCTCCTCTCCTCTCCTGTCTCTCTCTCGCCTCCTCCTCCTCGCTTACTTCTCTACAGTCTTTCACAACGCCTGCAATACCCCTTCAGGGGGTGTGACTTACTCTAGCTATGTGCTGCAGGCAGTTAAGGGGGTGTGTCGCGATATATATTTATATATGTTTATAACTACCTATAGCTTTAGCTCTAGTGTAGTTATGATTCCTTGTTGGTGGTGGTGCACCTTTGCTAGTTTGCTATATGTACCTTGTGTGCTATAGTGAAAAACACACATTCTCAATCCCCCTTGGCATAACTCATTCGACACCCGCTTGGCCTAGGCTTCTAAGCCTAGGCCCTCCTTAAACCTGGTTACTAGTTAAGACACTATCGTAACATCGACAGCTGCATGGGCCCCACGAAACTACGTCGGAGGCAGACAAAGTGAATTGGCGCCGATGTCGGCGACACACGTGACCGCGGGAGGAATAGCGCCGAGCTACGACTACTTCAAGTTTACGCTGGACAGGATCTCGGTCACCCCTATGCTGGTCGGTCGTCCCGACATCCTCACGTGGAAGGAAGCTATCGAGCCCCAGCTGGAGATGGCCGGGCTGATGGGCTTCGCCCGCGGGACGATGGCGACGTTGGAGGAGCACTACCCCGACTTGCGAGCGGAATTTCGCGCCGTGCAGTTGCTGATCTTTACGGTCATTTTGCGGTGCTGCTCGCCGGGCGTACAGATCGCCCTGAAGTCGTGCAGGGAGTACCTCGACGCCAGCCACCGGGCGTGGCATTTCATCAAGTCAACTTACCAGGTCACCGACGACTTGTTCATCGCCCAGCTTGAGGGGCAGTTGACGCACCTGCGTATGGGCGACGAGGAGACCGCGACTGACTACTGCAACCGAGCTCGGCGAATTCTCGCCACCACTCGGATGGCTGGCGCGGAGTACTCCACGTCGTCGTACATCACACATGTCATGCAGAGACTCCCGAGCAGCTATAACCTGCTGAAGCGGCTGTCGATGGCGCCGAGCACGCGGGCGACGCTCAACGAGGACACATTGACCTCGTACATCCAGCAGGACGAGGCGATGCAGGAGGCTGAGCGGTCCCAGGAGCTCCTCGCGCAAGTGAATTATGTCGCCCCCGCGAAGCAAGGTGGTCGACCGGGACAGCGCGGGCAAGCAAAAGGACGCCGACAAGCAGAAGTCTGCCAAGGATGGCGGTCGTGGAGGAGAAGGTCGCCGTCAGGAGTGCTGGCTGTGCGGCGATCCCGATCACCTCTCCTTCGAGTGTCCCGACCACAGTGACTCGGAAGATGACGAAACCAAGGGAGGCCGCGGGAGGTCTGGCAGCCGTCGTCCGTGTCGAGGAAACCAGCCGCGAAAGGAGAAGCAGTCGACGAAGTCGACCTCGGCGAAGGACGCCGACTCTTCCGCGGGTGGCAAGGGGCGAGGCGACAAGGAGGCGTCGTGCTTGCTAGTCGGTATCGTAGAGCCGACCATCTCGCTGGCGCCAGAAGCTGGCGAGGATTTCCAAGCGGTGGCGGCAGCTGTGCAAGCGAACCCCGCGGTTGTTCCGCTCGACAGTGGCTGCTCGCACCACCTGATGGGGACGAAGGAGGCCTTCGTTGACTTGGGGCCGAGCGGCGACGTGAAGCACGTGCGCGGCTTCAATGGGGCGCTGCAGGACGTTCGCGGCCGTGGGACGGTTGCTCTGCAGGGGAAGGCCGGAAAGCGGGTGCTCATCTCCGACGTCCTCTACGTCCTGGGCGTGCAGGCGAATCTTCTTTCGGCTGGCCAGCTGAAGGAGAGCGGGGTGACGCTGAAGGACGACGGCGACCGGATGTTGCTCGTCTCCGCAGCGGGGGACGTGCTCGGTCGCACGACGTACACTGGTCGGGTCCTCTGCACTGACCTGCGCCCATGCGCGGTCAAATCGGCGACGCCCGCGAAAGAGAAGGTGGCTCTGCGGACGATAGTCTCGGCGACAAAGGCAACCCCGAACAGGCTGCACGCGAGGCTTGCGCATGTTGGCATGGACACCATACGGAGCTCGGCGAAGCACGGGGTTGCAACCGGGCTGGACCTCCAGTCGGCATCTGGCGCCGACTCACCATGTGTTTCGTGCATCGGCGGGAAGCTGGCGCGGCACACCTTCCCCGACCACGGCTCCGAAGCCGACGACGTCCTGGCCGTCGTGCACATCGATTTGTGCGGGCCATTTCGTGTGGCTGCCAAGGACGGCAGCCTGTACTTTTTGCTGCTGAAGGACCACAAGACCCACTATGTGTGGGTGAGGCCGGTCGCCAAGAAGTCGGACATGCTGCTTGAGTTCAAGAAGTGGCGTGCTGGTGGAGCGGCAGGCGAAGCATTCGGTGCTGCAACTGCGTTCTATCCGCGGAGGGGAGTTCCTCAGAATGGACTTCACCGCCTTCGTGGACAGCAAGGGAATCATTCACGACTTGACCTGCCCTTACACCCCGCAACAGAATGGCATGGCGGAGCGGGAGATGAGGACGGTGGTGGAGTCGGTGCGGACGATGCTACTGCACATGGGCGTATAGCACCACTGGTGGCATCTCGCTCTACGGCAGGCCGTCTGGGCTCGCAACTGCCTGGAGCGATCGTCGCTGTCCGCGGGGACGACGCCGTACCAGCTCCTCACCGGGCAGAAGCTCGACTTGTCGATGGCGCGGGTGTGGGGCTGCATGGCGCAATTCCTCGTCCCTGAGCAGCAGCGCGGTGGGAAGTTGAAGCCGAAGGCCCGGTGGGGCCTTCACCTCGGCGTGTTGGAGGAGAGCAAAGGCTGGGAGCTCCTCGACATCATCGCCAACCGGGTGGTCCCACGTCGGACGTGGTGTTCTACAAAACTCTGTCGCTGGAGGTTTGGAAGTCGGACCTCGGGCCTGCATCGGGGCGGACGCGGGCCAACCCGCCGACGGACACCTCGACGACGACGCTTCCTCTGCTCGCCGAGGTCGGTGAGCGGGCTGATGAGGATGTCGTGGTCGCCCCTGCCTCACCACCTCCTGCGCCTTCTTCCCAATCCCTTCCCGTCGACCTGCATGGCTTGACTCCGGTGTCGGCCTCCGGCGATGAGGGGAGCCGTGGGGCGTCACCTGCGGCGCCGGCCAAGAGCATCGCCGGTGGCCGACGTGATGCCCAGCCAGTCGCGGAGAAGCGGGCCGCGGAGGTGCGGCCAACTTTGGACACCGCAAAGGAAACCGCGAAGGACACCGCGAAGGAAACCGCGAAGGACACCACGGAGGAAACCGCGAAGGACACCGCGAAGGAGACCGCGGACGAGACCGCGGAGGAGCCCGCGGCTAGCAGGCAGCTGACAGGGGAACAGGCAGCAGCTAAGCCGACCGCGGAGTAGTTGGCAAGGGAGCTTTCGATCGGGAAGCACATTTCAGAGAAGCCGTCGACAGGGGAGCCCTCGAACGCGGAGCTCGCTTCAGAGGAGCGGACGACAGGGGAGCAATTTGATGAAGGCACATCGAGCGACGTGGTGGAGGTGCAGCCCGGACCTCGGAAGTCGGGCCGAATTCGGAGGCCACCCAACTTCTTCGTCCCCGCTGCCTTCACCACGGTGTACGATGTGGACGACGACGACCTAGCGTACGATGACGCCGAGGTCGATGAGGAGTTTTTGGAGCTCCACCCCGACATGCACGCCAATCCCGAGCACCGTTGGGACATTTCGACCATGACGGTGAAGGAGGCGTTGGCGAGCTAAAAGGGCCCGGCGGTGAAGGCCGCCATGGAGGAGGAGATTCGTAGCCTCATCAACATGGGCACTTGGGAGCTGGTCGAACGCCTGCCGGGGGTGAACATAATGAAGAACCGGTGGGTGGTGACAACGAGGTACCGCATCGACGACATTGTTGAGTGCGAAAAGGCGAGGCTCGTCGTGAAAGGCTTCACGCAGCTGTATGGCGCTGAGTACGACGAGACGTACGCGCCGATAAGTAGCTACGTCACGCTGAGGATTTTCCTCAGCATCGTCGTCGTCCTCGACTTCAACCTGATGCAGCTGGACATGAAGAACGCCTTTTTGCAGAGCAAGCTCGACCGCGTGCTGTACATGTACCAGCCGGACTACTTCAACGACGGGACCGGCCGTGTGTGCAAGCTGCTGAAGAGCCTCTATGGGCTAAAGCAGTCGTCGCTGCTGTGGTACACGGCTCTCAACGACGTGTTGGTTGGCACCGGGTGGAAGAAGAGCCAAGTCGACGAGGCTCTGTACTTCAAGGTCGGCGACGACAAGGTGACCTGCTGGGTGCTGGTCTACGTCGACGACCTTCTCGCCGCGAGCAGCAGCACCGCGATGCTGAAGGAGCTGAAGGAACTGCTGGAGGCTGCCTTCAAGCTGCGCAAGATTTCGCCGGTGCAGAAGTATCTTGGCCTGGAGATCGTGCGCGACAGGCCGGCACAAAAACTGTGGCTGCACCAGCAGGGCTACGCTGACAAGCTGCGCAGGTGCTTCATCGACGAGGAGCACACCGGGTGCACTCCGAAGACGCCGGTCTCCATCGCCGCCTACGCGGAGCAGACATTCGACGACGAGGAGGCGCAGGAGCGCAAGGAGGAGGAGTTCCGGCAGAAGGTTGGCTCGCACCAGTTCGCGGCGACGACGACGAGGCTAGACAGCGCATTCGCGTGCGACAAGCTGGGGAGCGGCCTCACGGTGAGGAGCGATCAGCACTGGCGCGAGGTCGACCGCTGCCTCGCCTACCTCGCCAACACGCGAGACACCGCCCTGGAGTTCGGCGGTGGTCCGGAGTCACTGGAGTTGGTCGGCTACGTGGACGCCGACGACGCGGGCGACAAGCAGAACCGGATGAGCACGGGCGGCTACGTGTTCGTCTACGGAGGGGCCGTAGTCTCCTGGTCGAGCCAGTGCATC